ACGTTTATTATATATCTATATATATATATATATATATATATATTTCTTGTTATACGCAATAAACTCTTTTCTTTGCGAGGCAATTTTGTAACTGTGATAAATATTGGTAGTAATTTACGCACAATAGTTTAATGATTTACATGGCTTCGATTCTATGAAATAGATCATTTATCATTTTAAAGAGCATCTTAAGCAAACACGAGATCTCATTTTATGCAATAATTATTTGAATTAGTTGCGTATAATGAGAAATCTTTATGTATTTTTCTCGTAATTTATGAGCGTTCAAATGTGTATAAGAATGTAATTATAACGATAAAAGTAACTTATTTTTAATTTTATTTAAGAGATGCATCATATAAGAGAGGACAATTGATACTAATAATTAAACTGATTGATAAAATATCAAGATTGAAATGCTTGCATCCAGAAGAGAAAAAAAGACATTGCGCTCGTAAGTAGGCAGGAAAAAGGCATTACAGAAAATATTATTTGTACAATAGTACGTTAGAAATACGCTCACATATAAGAAAATGAGAGATAATAAATGTGTTGTTCCTATGTTTGAAAAAGACGATTATTGTTTATGTCGAATTTTCGACGCATGAGAATGTTTACTATGCTGTCAATATTAACGTTAATATTATTCCACAAGGAGTTAAAATCTGTGTGAAGTAAATATTTAGCAATAAATTTGTTGCACGCGTCAATTAGTAAAAAAAAAAATAGCAAACGAAAAGTACAACTCGCTAATTTAAAGTGAATAAATTATAGTGTGTACGCCAATATTATTGATTGTTAAACTATATACAAATGTCTATATTTTATTTATACAGTACAGTTTTGACATAACTTCTTAAATCATTGTACTTTTTATATTTTCGTCGTATATTTTTATAATTAAGTCATGACAGCATTTGTGAATTTTAATACGAAGCATAGTGGATTTGCACATATAGAAATATGTGTAAAAGGAATAATTAAATATATTTTATCCAACTTCATTGTATAATAATAAAAAACTCATGTATTTACAAGTAGTTAAATTTATTATGTTTATATCAAATTAATTAAAAAGCAAGTATTTTTGTTTTCTGTCTTTTTTGACTTTTATACTAATAAACAAAAAAGACGAATAAATTTATCTAATAAACTGACATATTATGCATCACATATAATTTATATTTTTAATAAAAATTTCTGAGATTACTGTTTTTTGAAGTATTTCTTACATATATACGGAAAATTTCTCAACACATATTGAAAATCTTGTATTCTTAAAATGTTTTTAATATTTTCATATTTAAATAGAATATTTTAGAACATTTTAGAATATTTTAGAATATTTTAGAATACTTTATTTTGATATCATTTTTATTAAAGATCTTAAAATGTTTTTTTTATCTTTCATCTAAAAACTAAAAAGAACCTTTATATTATATGTAATTTCTTTCAATTTTGATGAGTTTTGATAAATGAGTTTTTTTTACTCATTTAATTTGTTAATTTAAAAATAATTGCACTAAAAGCTGCACTCACAAAATAAAAACTTTTTTCAATGCTTATATGTATTATTTTATAAATAGTTCTAATTTAATTTCTTTTTAATATAAAAATAAAAGAAAAAAAATAAATAAATCATTAATTAATTTTTAAGTAATGCATATTTATAAATGATAAAATATAACAGTATAAACTGACAGTAAAATAATACAGACTAATTACTTTTACTAATTACTAAATGTAATAATTGTACATCTTTTATATTTTATTGTAATTTCGCATTGATGTAAAATACGTCAAAATTAAATTGAGGGTTATAATTATAGGTCCCATTAAAATACTTCTGTATCAAATTAGATATTTTTTTATTCTTTTTAATATACATTTCAGCAATTTCAATTCAGTCAGTCTTCTTATGATAAGAAGAGTACAAAATAACATGATTTTTATTATAAAGTAACTTTATTTTTATAACAATAAAGTCGTTTCTTATAAAAATGAAATATTTTCGTTTAAGTATTAAAGAGATATTCGCTTAACTTTGAGGATGAATGTTCGTATTTCCATTGGTTTCAAAAGAACATTAATTACTTCGTCATGAACTTCCACGATTTGTCTGCTGTCATCTTCTTGATTCTGCATAATATCATTTGTCTCTGCTTCCCATTTCATAGGTTTATTTTCATTCAATAATTGATTAGCGCCTAACGTGGTTTCATTGATTGAAACGATAGAAAATGTCGAGAACAAATCCTATTAAAATAAGATAAAATTATAAAAATTTTTTAATTAAAACAATTTCCATTTAACTATCAAAATTTAGTAATGTAAAAACAATATAATTAAAATTTTATTTATAAGATATATTATTAAATATATATTATATATAGATATTTATAAAAACTCACTTTAATATTAACTTCTACTGGTTGAGACAATTGCTGCGCCTCGCCAACTTCAAAGAGATGTTCCAATCTTAATAAAATTGTATCATCTTTCCATGGTTCTAAAGTAAGAATATGCACATTCGGCGGTAGCGTTTTATTGAGACCGGAAGTCTATAATATGAGTATCAATTATTAAAAATTGTAATTCAAAATCACATTTATTTACAAAATTTAATTCATAACCGTTTTGAGAAATTTTGCTAAATTAATCATCAATTTTTAACTAAAGATTATAAATAATTTCTACCATAAAATTATTTAAAATGGTCAAAGCTATTTTCAAAAATTTTAAATAATTTTTGAAAATAGCTTTGACCAACTAAATTATGTTATATTTTTCATGAAAATGCCAATTAGAGAAAGCGTATACGTACAAAGTTTTTAAATAGAGCACATACATTTTCGAGATTGCTCAAATTAATGGGAGCACCTAAGATCCAGGGATGCAGGGCCAACTTAAGCGCCAATTCCTTTTCCTTCAATACAAATTCATTCGTATTCTTTATTTTACCTCCGAAGAGATAATGCGTTCCTCTCACTACCAAACCTTCGCCGAAAGCAGTTTCATTTAACGCTTCGCCCACACCAAATGCATCGTCTTTCAAAAGTCTTCGATGAAGCTAAACGCAATTTTATTTATTCGTATTATTGTTTAAATCCAACAAAAACTGATTAATAAAATTTAGATGTTTACCATTAGTTCAATAGTACCGTCATGCAAACTGCTTCCACCTTGGGCACGATCGGTCAGAACATTTAACTTTAATTGCTTCGTTTCATCCTTCAGTGTAATTTTACTGGTCACCGGATAATAATTTCCAGATATTGGCTCCTCCAATTGTAAGTCCCACGTTGGTCGATAATTTCTTACACGTTTTAACATCTCTCTTCCGTTGCTATCTGTGTAAAATGTTCTGCTTGTTTTCAGATTACTTGAGTACTGAGTGATTATCTCTTTGCCAATCTTATCCCTAAAATAAAATAATTTATAATTATTATTTAATTTATAACAATTTATTCAAATTATTACATTTTATCACGTTTTATTACATTTTGATAAATTAATAAAACGTGATAAGAAATATTATATATAAATATAAAAATATATATAATAAATATATAATAAACAATAAAATCTAATAGTACTTGACAGGTATCGGTCCAACGAGCCAGTCGAATTCGATGTGCTCTTCCTCTGGATAAATTCGAACTACTTGACTAATCCATTCGTTTATCGTATGATGAAGTTCTTGTACAACAGGACCTGCCAAAAAAGATGGATTTTACAGAGTAATGTATTTATAATATGTTACGGAATAACATTAATTTCGTAAATAATACCTTTGTATACTTTATACGATCCTGCATATGCAAAATTTCTAGGTGATGTTTCTTTGGGTCTGAAAATATAGGCGCCGGATGACCTATTAACGAAGACTTCGTTGTTACCCTCCGCTCCTATGTAATAATGGAAAGATTGTTCGACATTTATGTCCTGTTTATTCCAGCGTATTTCCAAGTTACCGTTGCTGTTAACGGTTATGTTATACAGCTAAAAATTACAAAACAAATTTAACTGTTATATTATCGAAATTATTTGACACTTATTTTATTTCTCTAATACTCAATTCCATCAACATAGATTTATTTTAATCTCGGTTTAACTTGCTCTTCATTTTTTTTTAATTCTTAGAAAAAGATGAAGAGCAAGTTGAACCGAGAAAAAGTTAAAGTTATTAATATCTACGTTGGTGAAATCGGGCATAAGACTAATTTTGCAATATTATAAAGAGAAGTTGTAGAATCAATTTACAAAATGAGAAAATCATTTATAAAGTTTAATTGTTTGTCATACAATATTTTGCACATTTAGCAATGTATATTTAGAATGACTTATTAATATAAACTTAATATATTTTTAAAACGTATTTTGTTAGTCATATTATAGTTGTGTAATATATTTTAAAACTTTAAATTATTTATTTAGCATAAAGAGGTGATTTAATGGTCCATTCTAATAATTTATATTATACATTTGTACATTATCTATTTACCTCGCTACTTATGAAATCGACTGGTTGAGGTTGTTCAATTACATTTTCTTGCGTCGTTTTAGCTATGGCATAAGCTAGCATACCGAGAGGAGGAATGTTTGAACTACGGAAGACAACTTCATTTTTCGCATTGCTCTTTCTTCCTGGGATTCTCTGAACTGCTTCAGGGACCGGTATTATTTGTGCGGTTGGATACACTCCTGTTTAACCCCGTAAGAATATATGTTATATATCATAAAATTTTTTACCAACTTTAATTAATGTAATATAAATTTTATTACTTCTCTAGAGCGTACATATATACATACCATCAGTTAATGATCGAACGATATAAGAATTTCCTTGAACGGGCACACGAACATGAATAGAAACAGGCCTACTTAGTGGATTGTACAATACAACTGTAAACAAGTCACTCTTTTCGGAAAACGCACAGGAGCTAATATTCAATTCCAAACATGTGAAGATTTTAAAGGATGCTGCCGTGTTATTCGTCATTCCTGACCATTTCCTATTTTAAATAAATATTAGCGACAATTGTTATGACATAATTTTGGTTAACATTGTAATATTTAGAACTAAATTTTTAGAACTATATTTTTATATTTAGAAATTACATTAGCGAAAGTTAAAACTAAAACGAAAGTGAATCCTAATAAAGAGTACGTACGCTATGGCTTTTGAAATTATTTCTTCGGCGTGAGCCATACTCTCATGCAATATACGAGAATAATCATTCGCAACTAATTGCTTTTCAGTGCCGGTAACAGCGTCATGATGCTGCATCACTCCCATCGCTTCACGAAAATGCTCTAATTCCTTGTCGTAATTCTTCAAGTTCGTCAAAGTAACGAGTTGTTTGCTTGCCTAGAAAAAAATTTTATTTTTATTTGTTATATTTTTATTTTTTATTTCTTACAGATATAGTATTTGTAGTTAAATAGATTAAAGTATAAAGTTTATTTAACTCTAATTTATCTTTTATCCTACCTGCAGCAAATTATTTCCTTCGCGCTCGAAATATTTCACAGTTGGTCTTGAGGAGAAATAGCCAGTCCAATAAGAGTGAGGATCGCTCGCATATGGGAAGAAATCATCGCTTTTGGTGGGCCACTGAAGATTCAAGTCGTTCAAAGCTTTCAAGTAGCATGAAGGTGTCGAGTAAATTACATTTACTGTAGAACCATTGCGTTGATTTGTGTATCTAAACAGATTATAAAAGATTATAAGATTTTTAGTATCAAATTATCTAAGACAATTATTAAACAATTATTTTATTAGTACACAATAATATAATTAAAACTGAGACTAAAATATCTCATGGATTATAAAAGATGTATTCTAATAAATAAGTAATAACATTGTAATATAAATTATAATGATATAGTATCAAAATATACTTCAGATGCTTAAAAGCTTTATTTTTAATTTTTATAAAAGTTTCTAGACTTTTAATATCATGAGACCCGATTAAAATAAAATACATTAAAATTAAAAAATCGATTAAGGAATTATATAATATTTAATCACATACATTTTGTGTTAAAATTTTTTATATTAATTAAGCTAACACTTTTACATCAATATATTGAAATGATATTATAATACTTAAAAATTAAAGAAAGTTATATAAAGAGAAATAAATAAAAATATTTTTCATGTATCTTATGTATCTCATTATTATATAATAAATTATTCAAATTCAGAAAAATTTCTTCATGCATTTTGAAATTAAAAATAAATAAAATTAAAAAATTTTGATTTTTTTAAAATTTGTTTTTTAATTGCCGTTATCAATTAATTAATTTTTTCAAAAGTCCAATTTAATAGAATAGATTTTTTTTATCTTAACGTTAATAACGTTTTACCTGATTAATTTGTCTAAATTACCGAACACCATGTCAGCCTGTTGATAATGAAAATCATCCCCCATGGTAAGAATAATATGATTAGTTCTATAGGCACGTGCCTGAATCTGTGCGTACGTCAGGAACAACTCCACCTGCCAATCGTGCATAATTTTTACTTACCATGGAACGAAGATGGCATTTCATCACTCGTAAATATCATTTATGCCATTTATCCATTTCTGCTTACTAGCGATGTCGTCCTTTGCGTAACGACAATAGCGCTTTTTTTGCAAGCTCGCAAGCGTTGGACATATTTCGAGAAGCGTGAATTATAAAATTTTTAGCATTAATACCTTATCAGCTTGTCCAGATTCATGAAGTACATTTCCGCGTGCTGATAAGTGAAATCTCCTCCCATTGTCAATATGATATGATTTGTGCGGTAATAATTAGCTTGCACAACCGCGTATCTCAGAAAATCATCGATCTGGCACAAAAACATGTCGCGTAGATTATAATTCTCACACAGAACAAATATGTCCTAAACTATTTGAGCAATTTTTCAGTTAGTGATCATGATTCTTTAGTTTTTATATTATAATTTATCTATTATCTTGTTAACAATAATTAAAAATAAATTAATTTGCGCAAAGCACTGCGTTAGTTCTACATGTTAATTAACGCTTGAGACGACCTCGTTAGTTTATCGTTAATTTATTATTAGGAATTCGATAACACATTATATGTTGTTATTACACATACATTACGTTATACATACTCTTCTATCGATGTTGTGGTCCGGGCTATCAGGATCATCGACCATTGGTTCGTCGGCACATAAAACATCGAAACAAAATCCTGGTGGTGGACTGTAAGTGTTGTACATTGCGGTTGTAAACAAATTCGCTCGTTTGCCTGGAAACAATATTGTATTTTATATAATTTTATTCATAATGTAATATTGTATATATGTGTATTCATTTACAGGAAAAGTTATTTCTAAATATCAGATTTAGATTTCATTCTTTTCTTTAGAAAAAAATGTAAAGAAACAAGTTATTTTGTTTATCAAGATTTCTTGTGAGTAATTTCGTAAGACTCAAATGAAATTGCTATGTTATTGTAAACTTGTATTCAATATTTTGTCTTTTTAAAAATAATTAAGACCATAATTTTTATATTATATTTTCTTTTTCTTTTACATTTATTAATCCTTGCTTTCCAAAATATTGTTTTACCTAAATTCGGGCTGCTCTTCCAAATAAATTCCATCGTTTGATCTTGTAATCTCTTGCTTTTATCCTGATAATCTATACGACCAAATAGCATTCCATCAAATCCCATTTGTGCGAATAAAGAAGCCTGTTCCCTGGAATGGCCAAATGGATCTATCTGCCATCCTATGTGTGGTCTGCCACAGCTTCCGAATGTGTCGTTGAGTCGTCTATTAAAAATCAGAAATTAGTAACATGTAAGTTATAATTCTAAATAAGAATTTATATGTATATAAAAAAAAGAATTTATACGTTATATATATATATATATATATATATAT